AAAAAAAAAAAAAAAAAAAAAAAAAAAAAAAAAAAAAAAGGAAAACGCATCAGGTGAGGCACCGTTCAGCCTATGCACCTCGCACCCGTCAAGACTGACTGGCTATTCATATTAATAATAAATATATATTATTCTACAACATATTATCTACTGTAATATAAATAGTAAGGACTGCTTGCTGCGCACCGCGGGTCGGGTGCTTGGGCTGGCCGGGCGTGGTTTACGAAAAGAAAACCAATTTCTTTTTGGAACACAAGTTTCCAAGCAACGCTGCTTTCCGTAAGCTTTCTCTAGAATTTTTAGCGTAGCCTCTTTTTAGATTAGATTCAGAACTAGTAGTCGTAGGCTGATGTAGAAAGATGAGAATAAAAAGGAAAAAAATGTAGGGTGTTTTTAAGTAACGAAATAAAAAAAAAATAATGTAATATTAGTCGAACGTCGGCTTAAGCGAAAAAAAAAAAAAAAAAAATAAGAACAGCGAGTCTGAGTTGATTTTGATGATGCCCTGATAATATGATGTGCATCATCGTACTTCGACTTGTACAGTCCTTAGATTTATCGAGGTTTTAAGTCATTGTTTTACAATTGTTAAGCGAGATAGTTTTTTTTAGCTATAACGAGACAAACATTTTTCCATTTATCCCTGTGCTCCATTTTTTTTTTAACTTCGACTCTCCTGGTATTTGTTTTGATTTGTTTACTATATCCTTTCCACTCCTCGTTTTTATTTTAGCTCCTATCGTTTTATTCTTCGTTGCACATGAATTCCTTTTTGTGACATAAGACAGAATGAGTAAATAACATATGTAATTATAAAAAAAAAAACATCTGCTTAATTTTGTTTATTTCTTCTCTCCAGAATACAATTATTATGCGGTGTGCGACCAATAAGAATATAATGAAAATAAAAATTTCATAAATTTCAGAAAAAAAAGAGGAAATGAAAAGGATATAGAGGGAGAGAAAGAAAAAAAACAAAATGATGTTGAGGCATTAAGTTCGCATCTATAAACAAGAGTTAAGAAGGAAGGGAAAAAAATAAAAAAAATAAAAAATGAACACACATTAGGTTCTCGGATACTTTTAAGATGGCGAGGCATAGCACGTAATAAAATTTTTAGATTAAGGCAAGTGTGTCATAGTTAGTTAAGAAATAGGGACTCTTAGAAGTCGATAGGTGCTGTAATACAAATGATGATAAAAAAGAAGTAACAACAACAACAACAAAGTTTAACAACGGTCAGAATTAGATTTTTCATGAAACTCAAATAAGAACAGGGCATATGCCACTAAAAGTGCCCTTAGTTTATTTTGGATCGTTTAAAAACGCTAGTCTTTGTGTGAGATAATGTGGGGGTTATAGATAGGGTCTTCTAAAAAAGAAAAAAAAAACACGAAAAAAAGAAAAGAAAAATGAAAAAATGTAAGCAGAAAACAAAAAGATAGAAAGACAGAGAACGCGAGAGACAACGTGAGATATAAGTAGTGAACACAAAAGAAAAAAATGTGAGATGT